CAATTCATTGCTATCGACGATATCGAGTCTTCAATGGCGTTATGCACCTGGCCAGTAGGAAGCAAGCTCAGCTGGCCAAATTAAGACCTGAGCACGGAACACCAGCTAGTAACTATGCAGTCTTCAGCCAGAGATGCAAGCATCCACGACAGTGTGAAGGACCGAGGTGGACGACGCAATGACACTTACCTGTAACGAAAACCCCTGCGTCCTGCACGATTTTCCGAGTTTCTACCGGATCCTCTGAGCACCTCATGTGACTATGTAGCAGCATCGTGCCGAATTCAGGCCTCCGTCCCCTGAAAGACAACCCACTATCGACGGAAAAGTCCCATCCGCTTATCTTCACGAAATGTGGCTTGGTCCCTCAAGCTGTAGCCTGGCTCTCCAGACAATGCAGATCCCGCATGCTACGACAACCTCTTCAGCTGCTCCCCCACTCACAGCTCATACAGTCATACAGCTCAGGATCGTAAAGGATCCACCAATTTCGAAGGGCCCACTGAGCTTCCCAGAACTGCGGCAAGCTCAACCTTCTAAATCAGGATGGGAAAATTGAAAGAGCCAACTCAATGTCCCTCCATTTCCTAGACGGTCTTTGGACATTCCAGAGCTTGCGACGAGAAGATGTCGAGAACTTGCTTGTTACGGTTCAGAGGCAAGCTTGTCGGCGCAATCATGCTCGAGCTTCAGGGACCCTTGCCACATGAATGAGGCACCCAGTGGGACAGCCTAGTTCGCTTTGGCTTGCTCAGTGATACATGTGACAACATTAACAATCGCAAGTGATCTCGCAAGCTGATCGCGTGCAACATTTCCATGAGACAGCACATGGGGCAAACTTCAAGAAATGGTTACGGTATGAGACGTATTCGACCAGAACGAGCGATTGCTGGCGAGCAACACGAGGAAGAGGAGCCAAAGGACGAACATGAAGAGCACCTCAGCAGTCAAGAAGGGCTCGAGCCGCAAATTATGTGCTCACCGAAGGAATGATCTTCAAGTCGCCAACAGCGCTTCATATGGTTCATGTGTATCATGCACCTGCTCCGATGCAGATGTCCGACAAACACCACGCAACAGCAAACTTGTTTCACAGTGCTCGTGTCCAGATGTGTCCAGCAGGCACCAAAATGCCAAACACATGAAGAGCATGACACATAGGATGCCAGGGTACAGCTGGCAAGCATAACCTGCGAAGCTGATGTCAAATGACAGTCCCACATGCAGATGAGTGACCAGCGCCATCGCCTGAAGCTCAACAAATTTCTGATCTGTCATGACCCGCAATTGTGCCATTTGTGTCGGGGCATCCGAAACGCATGGCAACCTATCCATACTATTGAGCAGCAGAGTGGGTGTGCGGCACCAGATATACTGCCTGGAGTTGAGGGCCGCACCGCATTGCCAATCAGCGCACCACAGGTGTAGGTGGCCCACCTGTAACAGCAGACAGAAATGCCGAGCGTCAAAGAGCCCAAACCTGCAGAAACTGAAGACCATTCTGGTTGCTAACCACCTGATAAGCCCTAAGCCTTGCTCGACGAAAGCCCTCCAGTTAGTGCCAAGCCACTCTTGGAAGGGCAAAGGTTTGCGTCGTGACACCGCGGAGCGACTCCAAGAGTCACGATGCACTCGCTAGCAAATGATGTCATAGATTTTTGCTCCGGAGCTTCGTGCACTCAACGGCCGTGCCGAGCCTTGTATCCGTATCTACTCCAGGTTCCAGCAACCGAACTGAATGCGAGCGACCCGCAAACTCGGAAGGAATACAGAGCGGCTGAGCCACTGCGCATGGAAGACGCTTGGCCCAACTGCACGAACGAGGTCCTCGCGCCAGGCTCGAGAAACTCGTGAGACACAGGTCCGAGGACTTAGGGCTCCTGCAATGAGTGGGGAAATGACATCTCCTAGGCTGTGCACAGGTCAGATGGGCTTGTAGTGAGGCTGAGGCAGCGTTTGCACCGTCAAGTCTGCCAAGTTTTAGATTTCGTGTTGTCTGTCAGGCTCAGCTGAAAGAGCTATTCTAAGCTCGGGGTGTAGATGTGTGGGCCGGTGCCGGGTTCTTGATGCTTGATGCTTCGTTTGGACCTTGGGGCCCGTTCTAAATTTCTCCCCGGAAAAGCCCTCGTATGGCTCTCCTGGCCGTGGTAGCGGCGGCCCAGAGAGAATTCGCGGAACATCCTGCTTGAGGCTCATGTACACAGAATGGGTTCAGAAAGACGGGAATCCTGCCCAGCCGAGCCAAACAGGACTTCTAGCCATGTGTGCAGCCAACGCGAGATCATGGGCTACGCAGAGGTTATGCTTCCTTGAGCAAGCAGCAAACCTACACAACACACTGAACCAAACAAACAAAACCAGACAAGCAATCAACAACCTTAGATAAACAGATGAAATACCAATACATGAAACTGTACACTGCAGTGGCGATCTTGTATCCGCCCGCTCGCTCGCTCACTCTCAGTGTTCCTCGGTCGGTTGTAGCGCGACGCACGAGTTCGTTGTTCGTAATGAACTTCGCCGGCTCATGGAACCCAAACTTCAGTCGGTGAAAGTTTGAATATGGTACGGCCAGAACCGCAGGGCACGCACCCTTTTGCACTTGTCCAGTTCAGAACCTCTGCAGCAGGCGCCTCATGACAACTGTATCGAGACCTCGAGCCCGAGTACCGGAGCAGACCTCGCTAGTTTACGTGTCGCTTCTGTTTCAGGCACCCCGACAACAATGGGTTTTTGTAGGACCTGGACCTGGAAGGAATGCTTTGGGACAGCCCGCTGGCCACATGCGAGCCTCAGTCGAGGGCCAAGGTGTCTGCAAAAAGAACGCAAGATATCTACACTGACCTGTGGTTCATCGTCAGCTCTTGAACTCTGAGCAAAGGCCGTCTGTCCTGCGATAGCCGTGAAGAACCTGCAGTCACCGCTACATGCAGCTGTGATGTACTGTGCGGTGCGGCATCCAAACTGTCACATGAAAACGGGAGGTTGTTCTCCAAGCAATTGGAAGGCTCTGTGCAGGATTCGGTACGGTACAGCCAGGGTTTAGGATGGTCTTGCACATGCGTTGACGGCTTTAGGGGCTCTATCTCTGATGCGCTTGATTCTGCTCGAGGACATGAGAAGAATGAAAGATGGACAGTGCACTCATAAACAACAGCAAATGGCGGGCACAACGTACACTTACACTCTGCCTTAGCTGAAAAGCATTCAACTCGTCTGTCACATACAAGGTCCTTCAAAGTGAGAATGGTGTGTTGAGGGAAATTCGGAGTGTGCTACTATACAACAAAGGAAGACTATGCAACTAGAAGGAGATACTGTTACTATCCATTCCGACCCGTGCTAGCTACTAGTACTACTAGCAGTTACTAGCTGCATGCTGCATGGCCCTCTTGCCATGCTGGAACAAGCCCCACCTACCGCTTGGGAAAAACGCTGGTAACCTGCTGCGTGAAGGGTCGGAGCTGTTCAAGTCTGGAGTGCAACATAGTGCAACTGAAGGAAAGAGAGCAAGGTCGGTCAGAGCTGAGCAGAAGCGACAGTTGCTGAGACCACTGCCGAGCGCATCAGCCAAATCAGGTACACCCCGCAACACCTCAGTCACCCACTGTAGGCAATGCGGGCGATCGTGCGATTGCTACCGGGTTCATTGCAACAGCGATGTATCACTGAAGCGTCGTACTCAACATATTATATGGTCTTTGCCCGCTCTCGGCTTCGCTTTGACTATCGTGCACAAACACCCCAACTCAAATCTTAATAGATACTGAAACGTGGCCGTGGAGTTTCCACCCAACATTTACGAGAGAATCACGATCAGCATCAACTGCCAACAGGTGCTGTCGCCCACGCCCAAATGCACAATGCAATGCCTGATTGCAAAAGACACTTCCTTCACAGCACTAAGTCCTCGACACCCATGCCAAGTAGAAGGTAGCAATGATCCTGCACATTCGCTTGCTGCCGCACATCGTCCACGTAAATCGGCCCACGAACCGATCTCGCACATGGAGCTGCTTTTTTGCTCTTGCGGTCTTTGGACACTGGTGGGCGTGTCATGCAAGAGCCAAATCCTAGCTCGGCCAGGGAAGATTGCCGCCAAGCATAGATAAAGACACTCAGGCTCTGTCAGCTCACAGCGGCGGTCGTCAAGAACTCGGTGGCCAGGGCTCTGCGCCTGCAGTTTCCTCACGAGGATTCAATCCAGGAATTCAGGATCTGTTGCTTTCCCCTGCCACCTGACCAGCTTTGGTACTACAAGCAGGACTTTGATTGAGGCAGGAGGTTGTCAGCAGTTGCCACTTGGGGGACGAGTGTTATCACATGGTCTTGTGACCTAGTGCTCATTCGTGCCACAATGCAGCAGTGTTCCTTCTGGTCGCGCACTGAGTAGGAGGAAAGCAGCGCCAACCTCAGCAGTTTCGCAAATCTCGAATCATCAGGCAAAGGACTTAAAGGCTGCCCCTGATGGAGTCAGCTGCACAGCGTGAAGTGTTGACCTGAATCCACCAGAGGATGCAATTTCGCACATCCTCCATACTGCACATCCGTCACAAAATCCTCGCAAAACGGCAAAGATGTGGTCACGGCTTAAAGAGATAATCGTGACATTCCTCAAGTCGAGCAGACATTGAACCCACTCAAAACCACGACCCGAAGAGGCATGCCAGCTCCGGATTTCCAACAAATTTGGCCGAGATGCAGCAAATGAGTTGTGCCCATCTACTACTGGGAATATCCTGAGGCAGAATTGTTCATCGCTTGACTCGTGAACCGCTGTGCGATGCTTTCCCGTACGTGATAACCTCGAGCAAGAACGCAGTCAACCACTGTCTAAACTGCAACAGACAACTCCTATGATTCACCTAGCTGGACCCGGCGGGCAGCGAGGAGATGGTGACGTCTGGTGCATCGGGGCCGCTGTAAACTGGCATCCTGAAGTGCTCACAAAGTGGTGGCCACATATTGGGACAAAAGACCCACTTTTCCGTTTAAGGTCAGGGCGTGGTGACGGACGCGGTCTCACTCTCCAGGATGGGAGGCTGCGGATAGGGGTAGATAGGCCTTGGAGGGCACAACCGAAGAACACCGAAAACGTTGGAGGTTGCCAGGCGGGACGTGTCTGCGGCGCGAGCGATGGCCCGACTCCCGATGTGGATGCTTGAAAACTCGACCTCAGCCGAGAAGCTTCAGGGGCCGCGCTGGTGGCGGAAGCTCCTTGCTGAGGTGATTCGGATTAGTTTAACTCAGAGCCCAGCTTGGGGTACATGCGCAAGACATGAGGCAGAGATGGCAGAGCGAAAACTGCTGGGCAACAGTAAGGCCGCCCTCTGCACTGAGCGCGGATGTCTGAGCCTGCATGGTCCGACCATTTCAGTTTTCTTCCACACGTCTTTTCAGCTGTACTCCGTACCCCCTCCGCTCTGCAGCTCCTCCAGGTGCTTCCCCGTCCTGAAAGGACCTGGGACGTCCACATTGGCCTTGCCAGGAAGTACGAGAAGGCGAGCAACTCAGCAGATATCTGCAAGATTTCAGAAATCATCCGCCCGTCGGAAGATGCTTTTATCACTACTAAGTGGTAAAATACTCGTTTCCCACCCGGTGCATAGTCTTTCAAAGTCCAAACGTGGTTTGGGTGCGACAAGTCAGGGGGCTGTATCCACACCTTCCTTAGCCTCTCCCAGCTCGCCTTGGCCAGCTCTTTTGCACGATCCATCACAGCCCTCGGCTGGCAAAGCTTCGAGGCTACAATGAGAACGAGGAAAACAAACACAGCTCTAAAACGATTGCATCATCCGATCCCTCCATGAGTGTCTGCCTGCCCTCTGGCCCTTTTATTGTTTGTTCGTCAAAACCTTGACTGTGAGAACGAGAACTTCGGAGGATGTCCTTGATTCGGTCCGGAAATGATTTCCCGCCACAGCTGTATCCGAATCTCAGCCTTGCTCGCCACCACCATCCCGCCTTTCTGCACTTTGAACAGAAAGCGTTCTGAACTCGCCCTCGTGGACATGGTGCTCCTCTGTTCAAGGGTCTGTTCGTGCTGTTGCTTGGGCGTCAGATCGCCCTCAGAGCCCATTCCACTGCCGCCAGCGGCACCATTCATGCCTGGGTGTCAGGTATGGGGGAAGCATGTATTGATTCCTCACACACTGGCCGTGAACTCAAGGAATCGCGGCGCTGAGAACTAGCTTAGGTTTCGCAATGTTTTGCTATTCTTACTGCTTACATGAAACCATGTAACGAAATGGCTTTCCAACGAGACCTAGACGCCGCCCTGCGCCATGCCTGGCTGCAAGGGTCGCTTGGGATGTGGCCGTGCGCCGTACTTATCCCCGTGTCCGAATCCGCCGGGACCGTAGCCGCCTGGGCCTTGGATCGGTCTTTGCAAGGGGGTTTGTCACACATTGTCTGCATGGCTACGAAAGCGCCGGTTGCTTTCGACCAGACTATCTTTTTGGTGGCTGCTGTGCTTGCTGAAAGCTCTCCCAAGTGCCGTGCGAGAGGCCGTGCTGACCGGGAAACCCATGCATGTATCGGCCGTTATGCCAGTGTGGGCCATAGTGGCCATAGGGGCCATGCCCGAAGCGGCCGTTCCGTCCCAGCCACGTCTCTGTGCTGCCTTCTCAGGGGGCAATTCTCTAGGCTTTGAATGGCAGGGGGCTTGGCTCCTGGCGTCTAGGAAAGGTGAAGGCGGACAGTTATTAAGTTGGGTTATATTATAAGGGTTTTCTTTGCGGATTCAACTCAGTAAATCTCCAGAGCCGAGCCGAGTGCCTTTGGAGCCAGGGCCGCCGCCCCAATTCTGGGAGATGGCCCCAGCAGCGTCCTTATCCCGATGTGCTACCGCTCCCGGTGCTCTTTCGGCTCATGAAGCAGCGCTTTGAGGTGGTTGAAAGTTGCGAAGTTGAAGTCACCATTCGCATCCGGGAAACAACTCACAAGCGAAATCCGTCACTAACTGAAGCAAGACAGTCCGAGCTGCGCTGTTATCGAAGTCTTGCCAATCTTTTTTCGTCATCTTCGCATGGCCGGCGAACTTCGAGGGCATCGAAAAACCTCGACTTGCACCAGGTTGGACCACAGGACATTAAGGACAACTTTACAGTGACACGACTCCAACATACTCCGACCCAGGTTTTGCATGATCCGAAGCATCGTGTCCCGGCGAGCGAGGTTCTGCGGCGATTGAGCTTGCAGCTTGCAGCAACTCCGGGTTTCAGATTTGCAGTAATGTCAAGTTGCTCCAAAGCATGCCGCAGCAAGCACCCGCTCTTTTGATTCCGCTCCGCTGTTTTGCTGCCACGCTGAACTACACTACACCCGGTTCTCGAACGAGCTGTCATCACCCACAAGTCGCTTGCGACACATCTTGCCTGAACCTTCGCTGCAGCCCTGGTGCTGCTGCGCGGTATCAGAACGCGCTTCCGGCGATTTTGCCTGCGGCGGTAAAGAAAGCAGTGCTTGGGGCTCTGCTCAGCTTGCGAGGCCCGGCGGTTCTCCATTTTATGTTGTTTGGGGCTCCAGGCTTGCTGGTCAGACACCCGGTACCCTGAAGACACTGCCTCAGACGGAAACCTTGAGAGCCGAAAAGAACGATTCCAGGCAACCCAAGGCTAACACTGTAACAGCATTTTCAGGGACCGTGCAGTTGCACTCTCTGGCTTGCAGAAGAAGGCACAACTCTGCAACCAGCCTTGGATTTAAGCGCGGAGACAAGAGACACGTGTGCCCTTCCTTGTCCACTGGACACTCCCCATGCACATACTTTCAAGTCAAGAGGTGGCCCGGATCCTAGGTCCTAGTTAACGAAGCTGCATCCAATGCTCTCCTTGATCTGCTCCTCCTGCGTAAGGTTCCTTAGCGAAGCGGGGAGGCGTAGACTCTGTGCATCTTGGAGCTCTCGGGGCGTATGGCACGGGTGAGCTGAGCTGATACGAAGATCGGCACCAAGCGTCACGTGCTCCGCTCGCATCACGGCCTTCTCCGCGCATTTCTCAACTTTGTAGACAGTTTTCGCCGTCTTCTTGACGAGGAAGTTGTTCTTGCATGCCTAGGCTGCAACCGCAAATCTCTCAGCAGGCCCTTTACTTTGCTTGAAACACTTCACGCAACAAAAATGTTGCAAGACTTCTATCCGCAGGCCTGAATCCTGAATCTGTGCACGGGGTCGCCACGGAATTCTGACGTTACGAACTTGCAGGGCAGACAGATCTTGCGCACGATGAAGGTACCAATCTACGGCGAGTCATTACATTTTGCATTCGTGCCGTGAGCCTTCCAGGAAGGGTCAGGCGAACTTCACTGAATTTCCTACACGTGTCAGCCAGAACCCTAGCGGGTTTTTTGGGAGTGATGTATCTGCAAACTTATGCGACTCAGCCTGGCTTGTTTCCGTTGTTTTATATCCGGGGACAAGGATCTGATAGCATCTGCCACAGCTTGGAAGACAACATGCGCGCGTGCGGTTTGCGAGTTTACCGCAAACGCCGTCCGAAGGAACCCAAAGCTTCAACCCCGGGAAAGCCATCAAAAAAAAACTTTTTTTCAATCAAAAAAAAACTTTCAGCGAAAATCAAAAAAAACTTTTTCACCAATCAAAAAAAACTTTTTTCCAATCAAAAAAAAACTTTCTCCATGTGTAGTAGTAATAGTAGTAGTAGTAGTAGCAGTAGTAGTAGTAGTAGTAGCAGCAGTAGTAGTAGTAGTAATAGTAATAGTAATAGTAATAGTAATAGTAATAGTAATAGTAATAGTAATAGTAATAGTAATAGTAATAGTAATAGTAATAGTAATAGTAATAGTAATAGTAATAGTAATAGTAATAGTAATAGTATAGTAATAGTAATAGTAATAGCAGTAGCAGTAGTAGTAGTAGTAAGTAGTAGTAGTAGTAGTAGTAGTAGTAGTAGTAGTAGTAGTAGTAGTACTAGTAGTAGTAGTAGTAGTAGTAGTAGTAGTAGTAGTAGTAGTAGTAGTAGTAGTAGTAGTAGTAGTAGCAGTAGTAGTAAGTAGTAGTAGTAGTAGCAGTAGTAGTAGTAATAGTAGTAGTAGTAGTAGCAGTAGTACTAGTACTAATAGTACTAGTAGTAGTAGGAGGAGGAGGAGAGTAGTAGTAGTAGTCGTCGTAGTAGTAGCCGTCGTAGTAGTAGTACTACGGTGGATGGACAAAATCCTGCATTACCCATAATAAGGAATATACCATAATTCCCATAGTGTAGGGTCCTTAGGGTAATGCAGGATTTTGTCTATCAGCCGTAGTAGTAGTAGTAGTTGTTGTTGTTGTTGTTGTACCTTCCTTCCTGCCTTCCTTCCTGTCTGCCTGCCTGCCTTCCTTCCTTGCTGCCTTGCTTCCTTCCTTGCTTCCTGCCTTCCTTGCTTTCTTCCTTCCTTCCTTCCTTCCTTCCTCGCCCTTTCTCCCCGCCTTCCTTGCTTCCTTCCTTCCTTCCTGCCTTCCCTCCTTCCTTCCTTCCTTCCTGTCGTGCTTCTTTTAATAAGGGAAAGTTTTTTTTTGATTGGAAAAAAGTTTTTTTTGATTGAAAAAAATTTTTTTTTGATTGAAAAAAAGTTTTGTTTTGATTGGCATCCCTTCAACCCCTTGACACACATGAAGTATACATGAAGTACTCCTGCGTCAGCCAAGACGTTGACGACCATGGCACTGGCATTCTGCTAAGGTCGCGATCGGTCGGCAGGTCGTTTAGCATCTTGTCTGCATCCATGACATACTTCTCCTTAGCAAAGCGATACTCGACATGAAGTGTCGTATCACCACAAGCATGTGTTGGTGACCTGCTCAAGGCGTAGCCGCCAACTGAAGTACACCCGGCAGCAGACGCCATGCATGTGTGTCGGGCGCAGTTGGGAAATGACTGCATCGACACGACGTCGAGACCTTCCGATAGTCCTGTTCGAGCCCGAACTCCAGCCCACCTGTTGAAGGAATGCTTGTTTGCGGACCTGCAGGCTCATCATGGAAGACATTCTCTGCCGAGCTGCGCATCCGGATCCGATCAAGAGTGGGGCAATCTTCCTCAGTATTCAGTCGCGCCGCGCCCGCCGCGACATGCGAAACCGACACGAATCAACGGTTTAGGAGGTCGGGCATCTCGAGGAGTGAAGCTGGCTTCTGAACCTATGTTGCGGTACTGGCATGTACTGACACAGATTTCATGCTTGCCTGAAACCTCGGCATTTTGATATTCAATGCTGTACGCCGTACGATGCTTGTTGTTCTCTGGATGAACCAACCGTCAACCATCTGATCCACCAAGGATTACACTCAGACGAAGCTCGAAGACAAGCCCTCCTGGTACCGCAACTCCTGTCAAAGCAGTATAGATGTTTAGGTTCAGGGTGGACTGAGTGTCTGGAGTACAAGGCTTCGTCAAGCGCACGTACCGACAGTACAAAAGATGTCTACTAGTTGTGCAAAGTCTCCGCAACGGATCCCTCACGCTGAAGACGTCATCGGGGTCGCAAGGTCCATGCTCGATTTCTCCTCGTCTCTTCAGGAATTACACGTGCTTCCTTCGTTAGGCAGAATGTTCATCGAGGGTCATCTCTCGGCTGGCTAGGCCTGCAGATGGTGCTGCCTTGCGAACGTGTGTCCTAAATCTTGGCTCTCTCAGCTATCTGCCACACATGGTTGGTATCTCATCCTTGCGTCGCTCTGAAGCTGAAGATTTATTTTGGACATTGCGAGCCACAAGCCAGTCCGCAAACTTCCAAATCTCAGAACCGTTGTACAGAGCGACCGACACAGGGAGAGCGACCGAGAGAGAGAGAGAGAGACAAAAAAGAAGAGAGGAACGGGGAGGGCGGCAACGAACAAATAACAACACCCACCATGCTTTGATCAACATCGCTTCAAAGAGCTCAACCTACAAGTACTGTATCCGGCAAAGCCCAAACGAAAATGCAAGGGTGGAGCCACTCGTGCCCAGATGCCATCCCATGGAACCACGTCGGGCGGCGCGAGCTTCTAGGCAACAGTGAATCGGAAGTTGCATGAAGAACATGCTTCGTGCAAATTTGAGAGGGCCTGGGGATCACAGGGATCAACATAGCTCTCCGCGTCTGTAGAGTGGAAGGCCCAGTGCAAGCTTGGACGAAGCTAGACATCTCCTCCACCAGAGGGCTCATGTTTCCGATCAATGGCACCGGAGGTATGTACGGGTGCCCACTGTCCACTCGAAGCACTGCGATGTGACAGCCCCGCCCGCGAAGGGACGTGCGATGGAGCATAATGGAGTCTCACCGAAGATCTGATTTGATACCACTAGCAATATGTTAAGGCAGTGAGCAAAGCCGACTGTTGAAACGCAACCCGGCGCTTAAGCTCAGGCGCTTCCCTAAAACCAAAGGGTATCTACAATCTACTTGTTGTTCACAGCCTTCAGCGATTCAGATCCTCAGACAAGCAAACCTACCATCACGTCTTGCTGGAAAGACCGTAGACGAAGCCCTTTCGTAAGTGTTTGGCATCCAGCAGCATCCGTGAAACTTGCAAGGAATTCCCAAGCGAAGCGGCCCAACGCCGCGCTTGAGAATGGCATGCTGGGCCAACTGCTCACAGCAAGGTCGACAGCTCACTGAAACGACCCTACAGCTGATGGACTGTCATTGTTGTTTCTTTACCCAAGCGCCGTGTTAGTTGTAGACGGAACAGACCACGAGTCTGGGCCATCTGTACATGTGTCTGCATGCCATGCCTGCGGCCCGTATCTTACGGCCTGTGTCGACACTCGCGGCCAAGCAGCGAAGTCTTTCACCTTGCCCTCGGGAAGTGAAAGCCTCAGTCGGCTGAATTTGCTCTATCGTAGACCACGAGTACAGACTTTGTCCTCAGGTCTGGAACTTGGGATGCCGAGAATCCCAAGGGCTTCAGCTGTGACGTGAAGAAAAGTAATTACATGCGTTGTCCCATAGTGACATTTTCTCCGGTCCTGCTCTGGGCTGGGTGCCTTCGTGCTGCTTCTGCAACCAGAAGGTTGCAGATGTTGCATCCCTGGATCTTCACACTTCGTGTAGCCCAAGTCAATGTTCGAAGCTTTTTTTTTGTGTCTGTGTGTCTTCTTGTTTGCAAGTGCACGCCGGAGGTTCCCTGTGTAGGCATTTCGTGATGCAGTTGAGAAACAGCAGCAGTACTTGTAGCAACTGCAGCTACCTACAGCGAAGACATGCTGCAAATTCGCAGCCAGTGCTATGTGAAACAGCAGGCGTTGCATGTGCAGCCGAGGCATGTCGAGGCGCTTGCCTGCCCTCAGAGGCGAGGCCCAGACCCTCCATACTGCCCGTTGACGCCGCCACCCATTCGTGGGCCATTGCCTGAGTTCACAAGTCTCCGGCCTGGGCTTCCCAATCCTCAGTGCTTCACAGAAAGCTTTGATCTCTGGCTCTCACAGCAGGTTAGACGGTTAGGTCGGTTCGGTTCGATTGTGGAAGGAAGGCTGACACTTCCCCACCGCGATGCGTATGCAGCCTGGATGCCGTCTTGGTCTCCCTGGTATGGGAAGCCCCGTGGCCGGCGCCGACGTCGACCGTTGGGAGAGCCGTAGGCGCCATCAGGCCCGTAGCCTCGGATTGTCCCAGGAAGAGTCTGTCGCATGAGCAACACGCCGAAGGAAGCTCCTGATACTGGATCCGATGACTGTGCAACCTCGCCTGAAAGTGAAATCGGCAGGGTTCTTCGTGGAGCAATCAAGAAAGCAACCAGATTCCCCACGTGTGAAGAGCTGTGACTGTACTGTTTGCTGCCTGGTTCCTCCACCACCGTAGCGGTCATAGCGGTCATAGCCACTGCCACGACCCCTGCCGCCATAGCCACCATAGCTTCTGCCTGGTCATTCTGCTCTATTGAGAACAGACATCACTCTAGGACTGCGATCAACCTGTAAGGGAGCAGTTGAACACTAAGATTGAGCGATGTGTCTGACTCAATAGTGCTAGAACCCCCAAAACCAAAATTTAAGGAACACCTATGTAAAATATCGGAACTACAGGTTTGCAGGAAAACTGCACAAATATGAACAATAAGGGACAAAGTGGACAAATAGGAGAAAAAGAGTAATAAACAAGGAGAGAAACATAAACAACATAGGAGAAACAAAGAAACAACATAGGACAAATGACAAACATAGGAATACAATAGGGAAGAAATAAGAGTGACATAGGAGAAAAACATGGAACAAGTCTAAACACAGGAAATGTAGGAACAACCTACGTAGGAAACTAGAAACACATGAAAACATGCAGGGCCGCAGGGTGGAATCGGACATAACACGAAGGCACCGGCAACAACGGCCTTTCTCTTATGGAAGTTACTAGCTACCGAAGGTGGGATGCCGTGCCAACACCGTGCGAGACACCCGAAGGTTGGACCGCAGTTCCAGGAAGTTGCACAGGCTTTAGACAGCGCTTGTCACCACACCCTCCAGTTCTGATCGTTTGTTCCGCGTGTCTCTCTCCGCTTGCATGTACCAAAAAAATTGCTACTGTGGAAACTATGATGTGCATCTCGCGGTTCTGCCAGAGATGGTCCACACTTGTCGAACCACTTTGTATTGCTGAAGGCTGTGCATACATGTCTCCACACAATATCACGCACGCCCAAACCCTACGCGAGTCTTGCCATCCAGAAGCCGGCGATCATTATGTTGAAGATGCCTCAACTTCAAATCCAAGACCAGCGGGCACGCTAGTCCCAATCTCTACAGACACCCCCAGCCAGAGACAACTTGACATGAGGAATGGGCTCCAAGACCAAGTTTAATCTGACCCACCTGCCTGCAGGTCCTGCCAGGCCAGGTGGCCCGAAGGGCCTCCGACGGACACCCTTCCCTGACAGGCATAGATTGGGATGTCGCATCGGGTGTTGCGTTGAAACATTTTTTGTTTTCTTCCGTCGGCAGTGCCGACTAGGCGAACCGGCCCAAGCTTTGTGAGTGAACGGGTGTCGGGTCACGAGCGCTTGAGTCCAGGGGAAGTTCTTGGGTTGCGATTGGCGGAAGGACGATTCGCAGCAGCGAACTTGACAAAAAGTGCTTGAAGCTTCGAAACGTAAAGCTCCTGCCCATGGCCTTGCCCTGCCAGTGCATTCATCGCATTGCCGAGCGTGTCAACGTCTTCCTGCATCGCCTTTCAGGAATGGAGGAATAATATGTCTAACGGCGCACAAAGGCCGAAGCCACATTCAGCGGAGGGCAAAGGGAGACATGAGCTGCGACAGCCCGGCCACTTCCCTGCGCGGACTACGTGCTGATTTGCGGAGCCTCGTCGAGGGATTTGCCCGACTTTTTCGCGAGCTCCATCGCCAAAGCTCTCGCCTCGAACGCGAGGCGGAGAGAGGAAGTGAATCTCTGAAGGTGTCGAGCTCTTGGTTTGTGGAGAATTCTGCTGCTTTGGGGCATTTTGGGGCCCAAAGGGTTTAGGCCGGCGCTGAAGGCGTCACATGCCGCACACACGTGCATGGGCCCTGGAATCCAAAACAGCATTTGATTTGATCGTTCATGGCCTTCGGAAGCCAGACGCATCCATCTCAGGCAGAATAGAAACGAACTTCAGACCGCACCGGAACCATCTGGAACCAATACCACTTTTATCCAACGGAAGTGTGGGTCCATCTCTCCGAAATGCCGGAACCCTACGAAACCCAGAACCCAACACCGTTAAAGAATAAGCTGGATGCACAAAAACAGTGTGCTTCGCCCACCACAGCATGTCGTCTGGTTCGTGCCAGCACTTCATTTACCTGCTATAACCTGCCTGTGAACAGGAGATGTTGGGCTGTCAACAAGAGAAGACAGCTCGGCCTGGAGTTCATCCCGGAGCTCAGGCGAAATCACACGCACCTGGTGCAGCAATGCCAATAAAAACGCGCCGCGTGAGTGACCACTGGGGCATGCTGCCAGCTTACGCGAGGCCAAGTCCGTGTTTCCCTCTTGTTAGGGGCGCCTACAAGTTTCTTCACTTCCGAGCCAGGTCTCCGCTGAAAGGTAACAGAAGCCAGTCCAAGGCTTGTCCTTGACACGCCAAGAGGCCTTGGTTGGCGGCCTTGGTGGCGTCAGCTCCTCCAAGCTTGTCGCCACGGGCCTGGGCTTCTTCAACGAAAAAGGAAGGCAGGCCTCTAGGCTCTCTTTCTCTCTCTCTACAGGGCGTGAGGAAGCACCGGCGTCCTGGGTGCCCCCCCGTCCCCGCGCACCCCCACAGATCTTTGACGAAGTGTCCTTTCTCCTTGGAGGATTTTCCCCTGCGAAGCTTCGGTGTACAGGAACTCAAGTAATTACGCATGGCCCAGAGCGGCATTTCCCCTCTGACAGGGCAGTTACTCAGCGCCCTCTTTAGACTTCTCTCTCTCTCTCTCTCTCTCTCTCTAGGGCGTGAGGAAGCACCAGCGTCCTGGGTGCCCCCCCGTGCGCGCACGCACCCCCGCAGATCCTTGACGAGGTGTCCTTTCTCCTTGGAGGAATTTCCCCCGGGAAGCTTGGGTGTACAGAAACTCAAGTACGCACGGCCCAGATCGGCAATTCCCCTCTGACAAGGCACTTACACAGCGCCCTCTTTAAACTCTCTCTCTCTGGCTTTGCTCGCGGTTTGAGCTGGGAGCAGTCCTCTGCGGCTAGGCGCTGCGCCCGCTCTGATGTTGAGAGAAGGGCTCGGCTGTACTCGGGATGTTTTGCCGTTTCGGGCTGGTAAAGAGCGTGTGCCCGTTTGTTGCGTGAGCCAAGGCAAGGCGTAAACGATCATATCGGGCATCAGCTCTGAAACCGATGGCCCCGGCTCGGTTTGTTAGTCCAGCGAGAGTCGAAAAAACAAGGGGTGTAGGCCAGAGTGAAAGCAAGTCAAGTACTAGCAACAGCTGGATCCGGTAGGCTGGATCCGGTAGGTCATTTACTCGCGTACTCACTGCCTGACTTTCCCGCCTGAGCCCTGCCTGCAACCCGAACCAAACAGAAACCCGATCCCCTCAGCACTGCCTGTGACCTTCCACTCAACCGTGACGCCTGACTGATAAAGTGGAGCCTCCTTCTCTCTGTTTGGTGAGCCAACACACGATGGGTTTTTGCAGACATCCCGAACTGAAGCGGGTCACGGCTTGCGATCTTCCGCTCAACCGCGAAGCCTCTACTCTACTGCATCTGACTCCCCACAATTGGTCGTTTGCACCATGGAAACAAACAAGCAAGTGCCCCAAGTAAGGTATGAAAACCCAGCAGAGCGGCTGCCCTCGACATCAATCGTCTGAGAAAGCAGCATGCATTCTTGCATTCTCTTGCGGGGGTGGCTTCTGCGGCTCATGATGTTCTTCATCAGGTCGCTCGTGCTCTCTCTCTCTCTCTCTACCTGGGGTGGGGGTCAGGCAGCGTTCAGGCCCTTCCCCCGTGCCAGTTCGCACACCCGCGGTTTCACGGGTGGTTTGGCCCCCCCTTAGGAGGCTCGGCTGTGCGAGGTATCTCTCTCTCTCTCTCTCTTTGCTTTGCTTTGGGGCGTGGAGGGCAGGCAGTCCCTACCCCCCGCTCTTTTGAGCAGCCCCATCCCGTCATGTTGACAGAATGGGCTCGGCTGTACCTGGAACTGTTCGGGAATTGAGTGCCCAACTTCTCGAAAGTATAACCACAACAAACAGACATTTAGTACAGCGTGTTCCTGGGCACTCTGTCTTCCCATCTGGGTTGGTGCCCTTTTTGCGTTGGGCAGTTGCCCTCTGTGCTGTGTAAAACCCACCTTTCCTGCCTTCCGCTCGACCCTTAACCTTGTGCTTTGGCAAACTGGTGTCCCCGAAGCCTCTACCCTTGCCGACGACTCATTGGGTACCCCACGGCACCAAACGCTGGCTACGGTTTGAAACAGTGCAGGAACAGCCTACAGCGGGTACCTCCTGTTTAGGCATCGGAAAGGGCAACGAGGAGCCTGTGGCTCACCTTTCTCGCTTCACTCAGTGCGTCTTCTCGTCAGCTTGTGCCCCGTCTTCCACTTCAGGAGAAGTTGCGTGCCACGGAACAGTGGCTGCGTCCGGGTCCGTGTCGTCTTCTGGTTGGGTAACCGTCAAGGGAGCGAGTGCTCCGACGTTGCAGCCTTCAGGCTGGTCTGCACTGGTTGTCCTCCAGCAGGTGGTGCCCTGCTCGACTCGGCACGTATAGTAGTAGTGGTAGGTCCCTGTTTTCAAAAAGTAAAGCTGCGGCAGCCTGAAAAACATGCGATTATTCACGGTCTCCCCCATGCAAGCTTGTGCATGTGAGTGGCACACCTCTTTGTGGTAACGAAGGACATGCAACCCGCTTCGCTGCTGCCTCGCGAAGCCGCCCGCCCTGATTAAAGACTCTGGTCTGGGATCGTTTCGCCCCGGTGGTGGGCCGGCTACGCAAAACTCGTCACCAGGTTCGGCTTTCCCCTCAGCGGTGGCCGAGGTTCTGGCTTTCCCTGCAAGGAGGTGCGCCCGTGCACGACACCATGCCAAGGTGTCACCCCTTCATGCTCCAAGTCTAACTGGGTTGGTGTTTTGTTGGTCTCTCGTGAAGTTTGGGTGTGCTTGAAACACTCTGCAAAAGAGCACGGGTATGCCTATGCCATGGCGGTTCTGAGGAGTGGTGCGCGGTTTCTTGGAAAACAGGGGGTCCATTGCACAACAATCTCCAACCAGAGTTTAGCGTCGTGTGGCTAAAGCCGGGGGCGGGTTCCGACTTCTCTCTTTCTCTCTTTCTCTTTTTCTCTCTTTCTCTCTCTCTCTCTCTCTCTCTCTCTCTCTCTCTGTCTCTCTCTCTCTCTCTCTCTCTCTCTCCCATCCGCCAGTCTCGCTACGCAAGGGCAGCCGAAGAGGCTCGGACCAAAGTATTTTCTAGGCAATGCGTCAACTCCCTGGTCACTTTCAAAACTGTCCGGAGTGGGACGTCCAATGTGCAGCAAGGCACAAGAGCTTGCTCAGCAAACTACCAGGCATGGGCCGCGTGCGGGCAGGAACAAGGCTCGCATAAGGTTGTGCAACCTGTGCATGTGCAAGCTTCTGCAAGGATCCCGGCATCTTCGGGTACATGGAAGGCCTTTGAGCGGGAAGACATGGAGTGGAAAATGCGATGCTTAACGTCAGTTCAATCGTGACGCATCTGAAATGTTGTCTAATTGGCCGTGCACCGTGCGCTGCGCCGTCGTGCCCCCAGCACGCGCTTGAGCCAGCCTTCCGAAGTTGAGTCCTCTCCGTCACAAGATGCGGTGTTTCTGACGGCCGGACCCCTGCTCCAGCGCAAGGGTTGGAGTCCTAGGCATCGCGAAGTCCAAGACATCAGCCGGCAAGGGCGATCCTGTGCTGGATCTCAAGTTGCCGAAGCGGACTGACAGGCAGGGAGACGAGTCCGAAAGATGAGGCTATGATCCGGGGCCCGTGACTCAAACCGGGGCAGAAGTTTGTAAGACTCCCAAGACGGCCTCGAGGCACAACACAGCACAACAAGCCCATTCCTCAAAGAGCCCCGTGTGCCGACTTTCTGGAGCCAGGACCTGCCGGCCTGCCAGTTTGAAGAGGGGCTCGATCGGCCTTCCGTCAGCGTGCTTTCAGAGGTAGAGAGAGCATGATGTATTGCTGGAGAGCCAGTTGGTGCTTAGTAGGTGCTTCTTGTTCAACCTTGTTAACACTCAGCTTATGATGCAGTCGAACTATGTCCCCAATCCTGACCGACCCTTGAACTCTCTTGAATATGCCTCAGCATGGCCACAGCCAGCATGCGGAGAGCATTGTACTGGACCTGACGATGCAGAACAGAGGACTGGACCCCGAAGTGCCCCAATTTCATCAGAATTTGTTTGTAAATAAGCTGCGCACAGAACGACTGCCGAACCCCGAGCCAATTCATCTCCGTGCATTCATTGTAATAAAGCACGAAAAAGCAATCCAGAGCCCGCCATATTGAACGGCGGAAAGACGATGCACAGCAATCTTTTATGGGAAATGCTGGACAGGATTCTATCTCGGCTGTTATTTACTTCAGTTGTGTTCTTCCTTCACCTGGTTCGTTCCTTCGCCCGTCGCTATTGCAATGCAGGGAGCGAAAGCATGCTGTTATGAAATGACAGTGCGCAAATACGAACGACATCGGGAAAGATGACGCATTCACATTTGGATCAATACTGTGCTCTCGCTGGTATCAACATAGCACTCATATGTATCAGCCCAAATGACAATCAAGCATCAGGGTCTCGATTTCGTTGTCTATCACCAATCTTACAGGGGGCGTGCGCCAATCACGGGTGCGCCAACCGCGGGTTCAAACCTCATAGAATAAGCCGATATATAGCAGAAGGAAGGAATGCAGTGAACTGACCGCACAGTTCATTCATGCTCGATGAATGCATAATTATTCCGCAGGCCATAGACTGCATGAGGCCCCTGCCCAGGCCATGTATCCCATCTGCAGCAACACCATGGCCATGACTGCACCGACTCCAACCTCAGAGGTTGACTATACTGGCATTGAGGCATAGAAGACTTTGATTGAGAGATTTCTGCTTCAAGTCTGAGCTCTTGATCCCGCACTCTATGCAGCGATGCTTTGCGTAGGCATTCCTGCACCTATGGTAGGTTTTGGAAGCCGAACACGGAAGAAGTGAATCATAGCGAAAGAAAGGAGAGTGTGGTGCTGCTGCGTGCCAACTTGAAAGAAAACAGAAAAGCATGCCTCATTTCATTGCATTGTACGGTACTCGTCACTCTAATCGCACGTGCAATAGGCACAAGCAACAGCTAGAAGCGTAATGGAGTGGAAGCCGTTGACTGAAGCAAGACAACCCGAGTTTTCTCTCTTTATTATAAGCCCGAGCCTCCAAGCTATTCCAACCCATACATGTATGTGTACAGCAACAAAGATTTCCGCCCGCCCCCTTTGCTGGGGTCCCCGGCGACCTGCAGCAACACCGCGGCAGGGATCGGCACTGGCCCGCTTTGCGCATCGGCGGTGCCTGCTAAGCGGCCGGCCACCTTCGGAGCGGGTCATGTAGATTTAGATTTGGGTACAATGTGTCGTCGCTAGGCTACCGTGACGCTGTCGGAGAAAGGGGCCTTGGATGCCGAAACCTTCGAACCTCTGAGCCCTTCCACGCTAGGCTTCAACTTCAGTCCCTGATCAGCCCCTGTGGCTGTGGCATAGTCTTTGCACTTGCGCACGCAAGCCTCGAATGCCCAAGGCTTCGGTCTTCGTGCTCTTGCAGTGGGGTGTGGACTATGCGCAGGCGTAGCCTACAATGACTCACCAGATCCCACCACACTGAAAGCACATCGGTACCGTGCCTCTGCTCATGCGACACCGAAACGCCAGCACAACACTTGCAACGCTTTCTATCAATGCAATATCTACTCGAGGACCCCGCCGTTCCATACGGCTCGAAAGCTCGTCGCTTCACTCCGAGACGTGCAACAACCTCCGGCAGAAAGCGCTCCAGTCTCTCGAACAGTCTTGGGCGTCGACGCAAGACAGGCAACAGTGGACACAGTCGTTCGGACCGTGCTCGTGGACCTGTATGTACTGTGACCTCTTAAGGGGACCCGGTGACCAGGACTGTCGTGATTCCACTTGACGTGTGGAGCTTCAGGGGCCCAACAGGCAACAGACGGTGAGTATGCTTTCCTCAGTATAAATCCTTTCCTCAGTATAAAGCCAAACTCAGGAAGCCAGGGCCAGTACCAAGCTGTGCCAGCACTATTTCACAGAAAACGTCACCTGAGGGTCTGTCAAGCCTTAAGCAAGCCAGCGGTCTCAGAGACTCAGCTGCTTAGATGGCAGCTATGATTTACGACAGCCTGAGAAGTTCGGACCTGAAGCGAAGCAAAAATGGTCGATTTCGTGAAAATCTCGTCTCCCGTGCCTTCATCGTGCAAATGCTGACCAAGCCAATCTGGGCGAGGCTCACTCGACATCACACTTCATCACACTCTGCACTCTGTCGTGAAAACCGGAAAGACGAGAAACACCACCTATGGGAAAAAAGCGGCCGGGCTCTTTCTTGGCCTCCAAAACACTATGTGCAACAATGCAAGGGCGGGTGGCCAGTAGCCCCCACGATTCCGACTGTCTAGAACGGAAAGCCCTGCAAGACCTGAAGAATGTGAAGCTCACAGCTTAGACGCAAGGAAGTGGTCCTCAACTGTACAACGAATACAAGTATCAGTATGCTCCAGACCTCTTCCCCACAAAGCATCCAAGCCTTTCCCCACTGTGCAGAAGCCATGAGAACTGGCCCTAAGCACTTCTGATGTCCAGTCTGCCGGGCCCCCGCGCATAAAGCCTCGGCAGAGGGATGGCTTGAGACTGAATTCAACTGACTGCCGGCGATCAAAGAGCTTGACGTCACTATGGCGCAGGTCTGCAACACACTCACCACGCACAGGCTCTCTCTCGCTCTCTCTTGCTCATTCAGTCACCCAGACACGTGAGACTAATGGTCAGCAGCCTTTGTCACGAACGGGCTGCATGCAGGAACGACGGCATCAATTCAGGTGCGTGTGTTCCGTACTGTCAACAAATTGCCCGAACACCTCGTTTGAGCAACACCTGAGCCCCGCGCAAGACCACGACAGCGCAAGGCACGATGACCATGGAGGTATCCTCTTTCGGGGGCTCCTTGCACCATCACCGGCACCCGGGCCCAAGCTCCGCAGCTTTCCCGACGGCTTTCGACACCCAGGTTTGGCATTGAATCCGAAGGACCGGCCTTCGTCAAGAAGAGCCTTGGCAGCCAGAAGCGATTGTTGAAGCATGTTCAAAACGTCGATCTGGTACCGGACCGGCAGAGCATAATTCAGCACCGCACACCACCCGGGAGATCTCATCCGCCAGGCAGAGGGCACCTCGAGATCCATACCGTATGCAGTCCTGCTATGGCTGCTATGGGAAGAGAGCACGGGAAACACAGAAAAGAGCGAGCGCCAGCACTCTTCTGCCGGCATCCAAGATCTTTGAGGTCCCAATCCGTCCGGCAAGCTCACCTCGAACCCCTGCAAACCTGCTGATACCATGCATCCTGCGGCCTCAAACGACGCAGAAGAAAACGATTGACACTCGCATGGTCAGGAGGTGTTGGTCACACTAAGCCAGAAAGAAAACCACATCCAAAGCCATTTTTGAAGGCTTTCCTCTCACTGCAGTGCAGGAGCCAAAGCAAATGACCAAGACCAGCGAAGCCTCGATAGCGATTTCAAGCTGTGTCACGCTGAATTTCTGGTCCAGGCTCCCCGCAATTTACTTGCTCTATCCGCCTCCAACACTTCCAATCTTTCATTTCAGACTTTACAAATACAATCACTCGCCATCCCAAGTTGGCCAAGGCACCAGAGTGTGCCACCTGGGCGACACCTGGCTGGTATCGTTAGAGCTGCATAACTTCAAGTTCCACAGCTCCGAATCCCGAGAGCCAGCCTGGCTGCTGCCCATGAGCAGCGGCACCTTGCACTCCCGAACCGAGGATGCGGCCTTGATCCTCCCGAAAGGCACAGATGCTCTCTTCTATCAGCTGCCAAGACGCACAAGTAGTCACGGCCAGGAAGCACATGATCAGCTCGGCGACGTACAGGCTGAACCTTGCTGAACCCTGCTGGGCTAAACCCATCTATCTCTGGCATTCTTCACCAGGCGCTGAGCAGCCGTTGGTGCCCGCCAGCACACTGGAAGGTTTCGGAAAGCTCAGGTCGCAAGCAACGAGGGTTCAACACGCTGACTATGATGTCAAGATGTCGAGCGCAGAGAGGCGGACCCGTTCCCCGCTGCTAAACCTGAACCCCGAGATCTCCTCCGGATTCGCTGAACCAAGACAGTCACGGCTTGAAAGTTGAATCACAATCTGCACAAGGTGCAATGCATCCGGGCCACGGGTTCGAAGGCAGAACCCCGAGCACCTGGATGACCAGTCCACAGACAGCCTTACATCCTCTAAGCCTCGTCTCACGCTTCAGCTGTCAACACCCCACATGTCGACAACATCTAACCGATGAATCTGCACTAAGCAGCCCAGGTGAACAGGTCGAGCTGGTTGAGTCTG